CTCAGTTCTACCGGAAAAGCTACTAATTGACTCAACTTGGTACAAATCTGTTCAGCCTCTTCTTTACGCTCTAAAGAAGACCGACTCCTCTTTTTCCAAATGTCTACGGCTTTTACTATGCCAATCGCTGTTCTTAATAATCGTTCAAAAGTTGAGAATCGCGATAAATCGATCAAATCTGGGTCTTTATTAGACGCGCAAACCACCGTTGCCTCAACGTTCGCATATACAGCTTCTACGTCGCTGTTCGCCGATAGAAAGTTCTCCACTGGCCACGCGGCGTCCGATTCGCGCAAAAAGGACGGCCCAGTTAACCACCGACTATTCCTATCTAAGGCCTTCGGAGCAGACCGAGTGCCGTCGTCAGCCGGGTTGTCTTTCGTTGACACCCATCGCCATTCCCTGACATCGGTGTTCTCATGAATTTCTCCTAACCGGTTCGCGACAAAGATTTTAAATTCGCGGGGATCTTTCCTGATCCATTGTAGCACCGTCTTAGAATCTGACCAGAACACGCGGCGCGTTATTACGAACACGTGTTCATTCGCGACAAACTTCGCTAGCCGCGTAGCTATCAGAGCGGCCTGGAGCTCTAGCCGTGGAATCGACGTCACCTTTAAGGGTGCGACTCTACTCTTCGCCATCGCAATCGAGACGTGAAAACCTCCGCTAGCTAACTCGAAACGCCAGTAGGCAACTGCAGCAAAGGCCTTTGAACTCGCATCACAAAAAATATGCAGTTCCGCTGATTTTACTTGATTCTTTGAATTTTGATAACACCGATCGATTCTAACGGCCCTAATTTTCTCCAAATCGCGCAACCATTGCTGCCAACGTACAAACTCTGCGTCACGTAACGTATTATCCCAACCGATCTTACTCTCCCAAATCTCCTGCATTAATATCCTAGACTGAATGGTGAACGGGGTAAGAAACCCTAACGGATCGAAAATGGACATGATTATCCCTAAAAATTCCCGCTTTGTGGGCCTTCTCTGTCCCGAATAAAATTCAGCTGTAATCTTGTGCTGATTGAAGCTAAACATTAGCTCGTCACTGGTGTTGAGCCACCTTAACCCTAAGACCTTTTCATCACTAATCTGATTCACCTCCGATTTCACTAGACTACTCGGATCATCGTCCGTTTTTAACCCGCTTAAAACCTCTGATGCATTACTACACCAACCGTGCATTTCCCAGTTAGCGAATTTATTTATCTCGATCGCTTGTCGAACCCTATCGGTCGCCGATTCTATAGTTTCGCAACTATCCAGAAAATCATCCATATAGCAATTTTCGATCAGACTAAACGCGGTATCCGGAAAAATCGAAAAGTAACGCGATGCATTTTTGTTTTTAATGTAGATCGCGGTGCATGGCGATGACTTTGCCCCGAACAGCATCGAGGTCATCCGATATTCGACCGGCTCTCCCAGCCTATCCGCTCCTCGCCATAAGAATCTCTGCGCGTCCTGATCCTCCTCGCGTATCTTGATTTTCAAGAACATGTCGCGAATGTCTCCTTTCACAGCATACGCGAATTGCCTGAATCGCATAATGACTCCCGGAAGGGACTTTAATAAATCCGGACCCGTTAACAGAAGGTCATTAAAACTTACGCCCTCCTCTTTTGCCGCCGCGTCCTTAACCACCCGTACTTTATTCGGTTTATTGATATTGTATACCCCGAAATGCGGTAAATATCGAAGTCTCTTTCCCAACGGTACAGCCGTAGCTTTCTGCGCGTAACCCTTTTCGAACATCCGGTCTATTTCCCGATAGTACATCTTCGCGTATGCCTCGTCGCGGTCTAATTTTTTCTCTAACGATTTCAACCGTTGTAACGCCGTTTTTCTACCGTCTGAAAACGTAACGTGGTCCTCTTTCCATGGCAAACCGACCTGCCATTCCCGGCCCGTGTGCGTACACGTGGCTTCTAAGATTTCTAAGGCGCGCCTATCCTCACGTTTCGCCTTGACATGCGTACTAATACCGATCGCTTCGATGTCAAAATATAGCTTCATCTGTTTGTCTAATTCCTGTTCCATACTCAGCGGCACATCTACCTGATCAATTACAGTGATACATTCCCGTTTCCGTTCAAAAAACCCTCCGTGTACCGACCATCCCAACAAACAACGGGAAACAAATAACGTCCCTCTTTCTAATTCTCTATATTCTCTTGTAATAATTAATTGACAATTATCCTGCCCGATGATCATGTCTGGTGCTGCGTCATAAGCTTCGATTTCGATTCCCGATTTTTGTCTACAAAGCTCAACAATTTCCCGACTCACACGTTGTTCCGGTAACGCTAACTCGCTCACCACGAGTACATTGTTTAACTCGAAAGATCTATCACTACCCCTAATCGTTAGATTTACTTTTTCGGTGCACAACGCGATCGCGGAGTCACTCCCTACTCCTCTCAATACCTTATGAGCTTGCGTTACTTCAGCTTCTATCTCCCTAACTATTTCAGAGTTTATCAGCGTAACGGTCGCACCTTCATCTAATAGTGCGTAGACTACCTTCGAATTGCGCGGGCCCTCTATAACTATTCGCACATATTTTAACAGCGAACTGGCTAGTCATGGCCCCGATCGAGCAGGAGTCCGCGTTTCGACCTTAGAGACTACCGGGTTCTTCGCTTCCGTATGCAACAACGGATGATGGCGACGGCCACATCTATCACACGCCCGTTTTTTACATGCGGTTTGTAAATGTCCAGTCGCTAAGCAATTATAACATCTACCCTTATTTCTTATGACCTGCCAACGTTTAGTTACCGGTAACCTCGCGAATTGTGAACACGCCTCGGTGTTGTGCGTCCGATCACAACAAGCGCATCTCGCGGTCGGTTCCTTTGGGCGCATCTCTCCGCTCTCTGAGACCCCGCCATCGTTCGTCGCGAAAACGCCTCTACCCCTTTGATAATGTGTTCGCGCCGCGCCCTTCGAATAATTCGATGCCGTACGCGGTTCATATTGAATTATCCCCGCCTTGACGGACATAACCGCTTCCTTGTAGACGAAATCCGCGATCTTTTCTAAATCCGACACGTCTTCCCCTGCGTAATGGGAATACGTCACGTAGCTGTGGTACATCGCGCTTGGCAGTTTATCTATCAGTCGGTTTGCTAATTCCGGACTATTTAAATACCCCGAATTTCCGCTAAGAGATTTGATCGCCCTGACCGCGGCCCTCAATCGCGTAGCAAATTCTACCAAGCTAACACGGCGGGACTCAATCCTCGGTAATTCGCTGATTTCACGCAGAATTCTAGCCAAGATCAATTTGGCGTTCCCGAACATCATCTCCAAAGTTTTCATTATTTCTTCCGCGCTATCTCCGCCGACGAACAAGGCTCGCGTCGCGTCTCGCGCTTCTCCTTTCAATGCGTCCGAAAGACGCATTATATTCTCCGCGTCCGAATAATCTCCTAGCCGCGTACTACTTTCAAACGCCTGCTTAAAGCGTATCCAGTCGAGAGCATCCCCCGAAAAGACTGGCAATCGCTTAGCCGATGTCATCCTATTCACTAGGCATGACTCGCCGCTTAATAAATTAGAACGCGTCGCCGAATTTAGCGTTCTCTCAATGGCTCTTGCTAATCTATCTTCGGCACTTTCGCCGTTTCGATCTCGCTCATACATAGAATGATCCGCATCACCAGATGCCGGATCGTAACTTCGGTCCGCACAGCTTTCGCGCCTAGCGCAAGCTGCTGCTTGATTTTGATAATCATCGCGCCTACCAAAGGCTTCTAACGCGTCGGAATGTTCCGCATCTCAAGTTTCGAGAAACTCTCGTCTAAACGACCGCGACTAGTCAATGGCAAATACCTCGAATCGTTCTTTTCGCGACGTGCTGACGATGATGTCCGCTGGTCGTCGATGTGAGCTGCAACGTCCTCTGCATGGGCAGTCGCTGTGGGAGACGGCGCGCGTATTCGCGCTGCCGACGTTGATGGAGCCGTTGACAGCACCATCGGCGAGGATCTCCGTTCACCCAGCCGCTCCGTTGTTGGTACCGCCGTCAAGTTGTGTTCCTGCACGTCTGCAGAAAGCCCCATACTCCCTCGTACGGCCGCAGTGCCGCGGTTCGGCGGTGCTCGACCTCGAGCCGTCGTGGTCGTCCAAAGCGGCGATGTGCGTCCTAGTGTCGTTGTCGACGGAATTGGCGGAGCACGCCCTTGCGCTACCGCTTCATCTGCGGACAACAGCTTCCTGCGCCGTCGGTCCCGGCGTCAATCCTGCTCGGAACGCTTCCGCGATATCCTCGTCGGAATACACACATCCTCGTGCCCCCATTGTTGGTCTGCTCCTGGGGGTAAAGTCAAACAGGCTCGGGTGCCCATCGGGCTCCTGGCCATCACTTTTACCACCCTCGTCCAACGTGTCGAAACGGACGCGTCGTCGGGGCGGAATCGACACAATACTTTCCTCTACTCTGTCTCCCGTCGAAGGTGGATCTCGACCTCCCCACATATACCCACGCTGCAATTCCTCCGCTTCTAAGATAGGACTTGCTCCGCGCTTCCTGCCAGCCGTCGCACGTCCTCGCCGTGATGTCGATTTTTGCCCTCGATTTCCTGACATCGTACAGGGGGGTCTCCCGCGTGCGGTTCACGCTCGCGCACGTAACCGACCCAAGGGTTGCGGAGGAGCATCGTCGATCGTCGCCTCCGCGTTGGTCGCGGTTGCTGTCGCGTTTCTCCTGCTGCGAGATCGTTGATCCTCCGCGGGGTCCTCAGTCCTTGCAATGGCTGCCTCCAACAGATCTTCATCTGTCTCCCCTCTCTGAATTGTGGAAGCCGCTTTCCACGCTCTTCCCGACGACGCGCGTCGACGTCCTGGCTGCCGTGGTCCATCCTCTGCAGCGGTCTCTGCTGCAGCGGTCTCTGCCACCATCGCCGTTGCCTCCACGCGCACCGGCAGTGCTTGACCATGTTGGAGCATCGCCTGCGGTCCCTCCGAGGCAGTCTTAACCGAGGGTTTCCATCCTCGAGAAGCCCTTTTCACCATCGTATTAAAAAACGATTTCCCTTTTCACGGACACTAGACCACTCGCGCAATGAACCGGAAAGTCCCGGGTTTCGGCACCAAAATGTTCACCCCGAAAAGGTGAAAGCGAGTAAATTCCCCAGGCCCGTGGTTGATTTCAAATGAACTCAATAAACGCTTCGATTTTTATGGCTCTCACGAATTTATTAGAACTTTTTAAAGAAATGATCGCAATACGCACAAACAGTACACCCTGTCGTTCGGATTTCGGAAAACGAAGTGAAGACCGATCGGCTCGGGATGCCGAATTTATACGCAAAAACGCTGCCACCGCCGCACCAATCAGATGGCCTGCTGGCAAAAACGATGCCACAGCCGCACCAATGCAATCGCTTTACAATTAACAAACGCGTCTAGATCGCGCCAACTCGATCGCTCTACAATTAACAAGCGCGGCTAAGTAGCGCCAACTCGATCGCTCTACCCTAAACGAACGAAAGCGCAAACCCGTGGCCACCTGTGTTCGCTTCTCCCCAAAAGCTCCTCGGAGCGGAGAATTCGCGAACAGGTACTAAGCCCGAAACCGGCACCCCCGCGGACCTGGTCCGTTCGCTCTAATCAGTGCTGTCCGCAGCCACCAATCTCCAGTCATGCCTCGAACTCGAGCCCGAATCACTTTCCTCCAAGGAAAGATAATGATTCGGCTCCATACTTGGACTGGTCGAGCCCTAGTCGACGCTCCAAGTCCGTCCTGTCCTGGTCGAGCCCTAGTCGACGCTCCATGTCCGTTCTGTCCTGGTCGAGCCCTAGTCGACGCTTCATCATCTTATCAGCTACATTCAATCTTACAATAGTTTATCATTTGCAAACGCCGCGTTCGTTGTTCTCGTATTCACCCAGGCAAGCCTGTGGCGCAGGAAAAACTCAACGCATCTTNCAGCTGATCGTGATCGGTCAATGCATGTCGATAACGATGAACAGGACCGTAGTTATAATTTGTGGGCTTACCTCGGTTGACGAGTGGAGAACGCAAATTATTTTAAATGATGTGCCTCGCATTCAACCTAATTACTCGCTAAATCCACAAGAGCACATCGAAACACGCTCTATGGGATTTTCGAGTCACGAGGGTGAATGCTCTTTTCTTCGCAACAAAAAGAAATATCCACAAGAGTACACATGCACCAAAAGTATCCTGTTCGTAGTGCGAGAAAAATTATCCCAGCCCTGGTTGCTACTCGCCAAGGATAGTTAAGACGAATCGGAGAACTTTGTGTATCTTCGATCGTCTTCGTTGCAAGAAGATTGCCAACATAACAAAGTGCGCTAAACCTGATTTTCTAACAGATAACTTAAACTTAGAAAACCTAAATGATCACGATTACATACTAGATGTAAGTAATATCAGCGACTTTTCCCAAGAAGCTTCTCGTTATATTGCAGGGTATGTCGTACGACAATTAAAAAAACGTATCGCATGCGTAGAATGCATAAAAGCAATTACGGTTGAAAAAGGAATTTACGGAAACAGTTTGATCGCATTAAAGGATAGAGGGAAATTAGTATATCTTGCAGAGGACGTAGTCACAATTTGTCGCATATGTGAAAAAATTATTAGAGTTGCACTTACAGAACATGTTGCGTGCCCACAAGCAGTGATGTAAGATTTGCGGAATTTCGATCGCATTTACGGTGAAGAAGAGTGGAACTAAAAGTCTTGATGTAAGATTTGCGGATTTTTCCGCCCATAGCGTAGACCCAGTCTTGAATGCTGGTATGTCTTAGCTTTAAGCTTTGAACCTAGCTGTGCGCGTAGTTTGAACAGCAGAGTTCAGCTGACGGCCCGTTTTCTCTAGATTTAAGTAGCTAATACATATACGTTAGTTGCTAGTTGTTGTTCAATTGAATTAAAGATTTAATCTAATTGAAAAGTCTACTCTGCTACCCTGCCAATACGAACTACAAAAATCTGACAATGAGTTCGTTGTACATACGATCCTTCTAGTACAGAATTACGCCTGAGTATAGCTATCCCCCACTATGCGCGCACCTTATACGCATTAGTAATCTATTGGAATCTAATTTATTGTTCAATAAATACTCAGTAAAGTACAATAGCTGTAATAGGAATTCTTTTTGTTACATTATTATTATTATTGCACACTAATATGTGATCCCTGATCGTACACATATCCTCACGAAGCCTCACGACATCTCATTGTACATATAATCACTTCATTGGCTTCAACTAGGGTTGCAGATAAGTGATTAAAGCTGTAAATCAATTGAACATCAATTAAGAATTAAATTTTAATCATTCATTGTGATTTTTTCAATTAATAATTAAAATTTAATTATTAAATGAGATTTCTTCTTTATGGATGCGAGATGTATGTATATTAAAAAAGTAGGAAGATGAGGTTCAAAAGAGTAAGAACAGGGATAAAAAATTAAAAAAAATTCAATTAACGTTTGAACTTTGATTCTCATTTCGAAGAAATTCTAATCAACGATTCAATTTTAGTTCTTAATTGGAAAAATAAACTCGAAACTGTTCACTCCGAAGAGGTGAAAGCGAGTAAATCCCCC